GTCTTTGCTATTGTAACTACTGCAGCAATAAACGCACATGTGCATGGGTCTTTATCATAGAATGATTTATAATCCTTTGGGTATATACCCGGTAATGGAATTGTTGGGTCAAACGGTAGTTCTGGTTCTAGATCCTAGGAATCGCCACACTGTCTTCCACAATGGTTGAACTAATTTACACTCCCAACAATGTGAAAGTGTTCCTATTTCTCCACAGCCTCACCAGCATCTGTTGTTTCCTGACTTTTTAATAATCACCATTCTGACTGGCGTGAGATGGTATCTCACTGTGGTTTTGATTAGACGTAGCAATTCTCAATGTGTTTGTACCTTATAATAGAGCATCAAAATATGTGAGGCAAAAATTGATAGAACTGCAGGAAGAAATAGACAACACTATGACAGTTGGTGAATTCAACACACCAACACCCCTCTATCATGAATTAGCAGCTCCAGCAGACAGAAAATTGGTAAGAATATTGTTGAACTGAATAGCACCGTCAATCAACTGGATCAAATTGATGTTGTGATAACACTACATGCAACAACAGCAAAATGCACATTCTTCTTAAGCTCACATGGTATATTCATTAGGACAGGACACATTCTGGGCCATAAAACACATCTCAACACATTTAAGAGAATAGAAATGATACAAAGTATGCTCTCAGGCCACAATGGAATTAAACTATAAAGAAATAATAAAAACAAAGCTGAAAAAATCCACAAATATTTGGAGATTAAGCCACGTGCTTTTAAATAACACATGGGTTAAAGAAGAAGTCTCAAAAGAATTTTTAAAGTATTTTGAATGAAATAAAATGAAAATAAAACATCAAGATTTGTGGAGTGCAGAGAGGGCAATGCTTAGAGGAAAATGTGTAGCATTGAATGCGTATATTACAAAGAAGAAATACCTAGAATCAAAAATCTAAACTTGCACCTTAGGAAACCAGAAAAAAGAGCATATTAAATCCAAAGTAAGCAGAAGAAAATTAACAATAATATTAGAGCAGAAATCAACGAAACTAAAAACAGGAAATAGTTAAAGAAAATCAACAAAACCAAAAGCTAGTTATTGAAAAGGTCAATAAAATTGATAAACCTCTAGACAGGCTAATGAAGAAAAGAAGAGAGAAGATACAAATTACCAATATCAGAAATGAAAGAGGGGCCATCACTACTGATCTCAAAGATAATAAATGGATAATAAAAGAATTCTATGAACAACTCTATGTACACAGATTTGACAACGTAGATCAAAGGGACCAATCTCTTGAAAGACACGAACTACCAAAACTCACACGAGGAGAAACAGGTAACCTGAATAGGCCTGTGTGTATTAAAGGACTTAATAATTAATGACTTTCCTAATAGAAAGCACCAAGCTCATATGAGTTCACTCCTGAATTGTGCCAAATGTTTAAGGAAGAAATGGTTCCAATTCTCAAAAACAATAAAACATGAGCTATGAAGCCAATTGCCCCAAGTATTTCTACAGTCATTGACTTTAGCAGTAGCTTCAGCTGATGGTAAGCTGTAATTCTAACCTAACTCTTCAGTATCTTCCTAACTCTCCAGTTTTTAAAATGTTTTTTGCATTTTTACAATTTAACTTTTATTTTGACTTTCAGGGTGTATGTGCAGGTTTGTTATATAGGGAAACTTGTGTCATGGGGGTTTATTGTACAGATTATTTCATAACCCATGTACTAAGCCTAGTACCCGTTAGTTATTTCTCCTGATCCTCTCCCTCCTTCCACCCTCCACTTTCTGATAGAACTCAGTGTCTGTTGTTCTCCTCTATGTGCCCATGTGTTCTCATCATTTAGCTCCAACTTATAAGTGAGAACATGTGGTATTTTCTCTTCCTGTGTTAGTTTGTTGAGGATAATGGCCTCCAGCTCCATCCATGTCCCTGCAAAGGACATGATCTCATTCTTTTTCATGGCTGCATAGTATTCCAAGGTGTATATGCACCACGTTTTCTCTATCCAGTCTACAATTGATGGTCATTTAGGCTGATTCCATGTCTTTGCTATTGTGAATAGTGCTGCAGTGAACATCCACGTGCATGTGTCTTTATAATAGAATGATTTATACTCCTTTTGGTATATACCCAGTAATAGGATTGCTGGGTCAAATGGCAGTTCTGTTTTTAGGTCTTTGAGGAATCATCACACTGTCTTCCACAATGGTTGAACTAATTTACACTCCCACCAATGGTGTATAAGCATTCCTTTTTCTCCACAATCTCCCCAGCATCTGTTATTTTTGACTTTTTAGTAATAGCCATTCTGACTGGTATGAGAGTATCTCATTGTGGTTTTGATGTTCATTTCTCTAATGATGAGTGATGTTGAGCTTTTTTTCATAAGGTTGTTGACTACATGTATATCTTCTTTTCAGAAGTGTCTGTTCATGTCCCTTTCCCGTTTTTTAATGGGGTTGTTTAGTTTTTATTGTAAATTTCCTCAAGTTTCTTATAGATGCTGGATATGAGACCTTTGTCAGGTGCATAGTTTGCAAAATTTTTCTCCCATTCTGTAGGTTGTCTCTTTACTCTGTTGATAGTTCCTTTTGCTGTGCAGAGGCTCTTTAGTTTAATTAGATTCCATTTGTCTATTTTTTGTTTTGTTGCAATTGCTTTTGGCATCTTCGTCATGAAATCTTTGCCCATTTTATGTCCAAAATGATATTGCCTAGGTTGTCTTTCAGGGAGTTTGTGGGTTTGTATTTCACATTTAAGTCTTTAATCCATCTTGAGTTAATTTTTGTGTATGGTGTAAGGAAGGGGTCCAGTATCAATCTTCTGAATGTGGCTAGCCAGTTTTCCCAGCACCATTTATTAAATAGGGAGTCCTTTCCCCATGACTTGTTTTTGTCAGGTTTTTGTCAGGTTTGTCAAAGATCAGATAGTTGTAGGTGTGTGGCCTTATTTGTGCATTCTCTATTCTGTTCTATGGTATATGCATGCTTTTGCACCAGTGCCATGCTGTTTTGGTACTATAGGCCTGTAGTTTTAAGTTTTGTTTTTAGGTCTTTGAGGAATCACCTTTGACGAACAGTTTTAAGTTGGGAAGCGTGATGCCTCCAGTTTTGTTCTTTTTGCTTAGGATTGCCTTGGCTCTTTGGGGTTTTTGTTGTTGTTGTTGTTCCATATGAATTTTAAAATAGTTTTTGTTAGTTCTGTGAAGAACTAAGTTTTCTTTTTATTGTTGTGTCTCTGTCAGGTTTTGGTATAAGGATGATGCTGGTCTCATAGAATGAGTTAGGGAGGAGTCCCTCCTCCTCAGGTTTTCGAAATAGTTTCAGCGGGAATGGTACCAGCTCTTCTTTGTACATCTGGTAGAACTCAGCTGTGAATTTGTCTGGTCCTGGGGTTTTGTTTGTTTGTTTGTTGGTTGGTTGGTTGGTTGGTAGACTCAATTTCAGAGCTTTTTATGAGTCTGTTCAGGGATTCAATTTCTTCCTGATTCAGTCTTGGGAGAGTGTATGTGTCCAGGAATTTATCCATTTCTTCTAGATATTATGTGCATAGAGGTGTTCATAATATTTTCTGATGGTTGTTTGTATTTCTGTGGGGTCAGTGGTGACATCCCCCTTGTCATTTCCAATTGTGTTTTGTTTGGATTTTGTCTCTTTTTTTCTTTATTAGTTTAGCTAGTGATCTATTACATTAATTTTTCAAAGAAACCACCTCCTGGATTAGTTGATCTTTTGAAAGGTTTTTCATGTCTCAAATCTCCTTCAGTTCAGCTCTGATTTTGGTTATTTCTTGTCTCCTACTAGCTTTGGGATTGATTTGCTCTTGGTTTTCAAGTTCTTTTTGTCATGTTGTTAGGTTGTTACCTTGAGACCTTTCTCACCTTTTGATGGGAGCATTTAGTGCTATAAATCTCCCTCTTAACATGCCTTGGCTGTGACCCAGAGATTCTGTATGTTGTATCTTTGTTCTCATTAGTTTCAAAGAACTTCTGATTTCTACATTAATTTCATTATCTACCCAAAGGTTCTTCAAGAGCAGGTTATTGAATTTCCATGTAATTGTATGGTTTTCAGTGAATTTCTTAGTCTTGATTTCTAATTTGATTGTGCTGTATTTGAGAGGCTGTTTGTTATCATTTCAGCTCTTTTGTATTTACTGATGGGTATTTTACTTCCAATTATGTGATTGATTTTAGAATATGTGCCATGTGGCAAAGAGATGAGTGTATATTCTGTTGTTTTGGGTGTAGTTCAACTCTCCAGTTTTAAGTCTGGCCATTTCCTCTACGAATTCAATTCTTGGGTGGATTTAAGAGTTGCCGATTTTCCATTTCTTCACCTTTCTTCGTTGTAGGGACAGAAGTGATGACTTCCAAGTTTCTTTCTCAATAGAACAGAAATTGCAAATCTTTGATGTCATCTTTTCTTAATCGATCAACTCTATTTTTTAGAAGTTTTAGGTTTACAGAAAAATTGAGCAGAAAATACAGAGCATTCTCCTACACCTCCTCCTCCCCCAAACATACACAGTTTCCCCCATTACTAACATCTTGCATTGGTGTTATAAATGTATTAGAATTGATGAGCCAATATTGATACATTATTATTAACTAAAGTTCATAGTTTATATTAGGGTTCAATCTTCAGTTGTACATTCTGTGGGTTTTGAAAATTGTATAATGACATGTATCCACCACTACAGTATCATATAGAATAGTTTCACTGTTTTAAACATTCTCTGTGCTTCACCTATTTATCCCTCCCTCTCTCCCTCCTCCCTAGTTACTACTAATCTTTTCACTGCCTCCATAGTTTTGTCTTTTCAAAGATGTCATATAGTTGAAATCACACAGTATGCAACATTTTCAGATAGGCTTCTTTCACTTAGCAACATATGTATATGTTTCCTCCATGTATTTTTCCAGCTTGATCACTTATTTTTTTTTAATGCTGAATACTATTTTATTGGATGGACATATCACAGTTTGTTCATTCACCTATTGAAAAATATCGATTTATTTCAGTTTAGGGCACTTATGGATAAAGCTGCTATAAACATTTGTGTGCAGAATTTGTGTAGACATAAGTTTTCAATTCATTTGAGTGCACACCAAGGGAATTACCTGAGGATTGTATTGCAGGAGTATATTTAGCTTTGTAAGAAACTGCCCGATTTTCTTCCAAAGTGGCTGTACCATTTTACACTCCCACCAACAATGAATGAGAGTTCCTGTTGGTCTGCTCACCTGCATTTGGTGTTGTCTTTAGCTTCATTTTGCCTCCACTCTTGTCTGACTTGCATAGATTCTGAGAAGAAGTCAGCGGTTTTACTTATCTTTGTACTTCTGTATACAATGCTTCTTTTTTCTCTTAGATATTTCCTGTTACAATTGCTTTTCAGCAATATGAATATGTTATGCAGAGACTCTGGATATGTTTTGAAGTTAGAGGCAAGAGAATATTGGTGATGGATCAGATGTGAAGTCAATGAAGAGAGGGATCAAAGATATTTCCAGAGTTTGGGTTTGAGTAATTGGAAGAATGGGGTACACTTTGCTGAGAACAGGGAGACAGTTGTTGCAGACCATGGGAACTGAAGTTTGGTTGATTTGGAGATGAAGAAGACACATCCTTTTGGGCTTTTCCATAAGCCAAACTGTGGACAAGCACTACAAGTGCAAGTAGTTTATTTGAGGCATAATTCCAGGAAACATCAGAAGGGGAGTAGGGTCATGAAACAGGGAAGAGCAGGCAGAGAAGTAGAAGGTACCTTTTTAAGAAACATACCACTGTAGGCAACTGGAGCTTAATCCCACTGGAGATCCCTGTGAACCAATGTAGAATATGCTCCTCAGTGATATTCAACCAAAGGGACAAGGAAAATGCAGTATTTGTCCAGTTGGATGTAGGCTGAGGATACAGGCAGAGACTGGATGGTGGGCCAGAGGACAGTCACAAATCAGCAGCTCTCTAACCGGGGGTTGCCAAATTCAAGGGCAAAGAGAGCATTCGTGACACCTCCTATTGGTTTGCTGTTTGCCTAGAAGCTGCTCCATTCATCATTCCATTCCATCTTCTCCATAGATCTGGGAGTCGGCATCCTTTTCATCCACACTTTATAGAAGGAAATGAGGCTCAGAAAGCTGCAATGACCTATCTAAAGTCACACAACAAGGAAGTTGGAGCCAAGATTGAAACCCACTCCTGCAGGACACCTAAGTCTTTTTCTCCTGCCATCCCCAACTCACTCCCCACCCAGGAACCCATTCCCTGAGTGTTGGAGTGAGGATTAGAGAGGCTGTGGCTCCTATTCACTATTCATCACCATGTCTTATGAATTAGAAACAACGTTCATGAGGTCATTTCCATGGGGCTCCGGGGTTGGCTGTGTAAATATTTGGCCTTCGGGGCTCTTCTCGGCCAAGCTCCTCAGGGTGCTGACGTTAAACACACTCCTTCAGGAAAAATGCAATTGGTTTCAGGAAGCCCCTAGAGTCGGGCGCTCAGAGGGTGTCTGCTCAGGCTAATGTCTGACAACACAAAGCCCATTTTTCCTATAACTTTTTCTCATTTAAGACAAGAAAGATTGCCTTCCACTCGTCAACACACATACTCAGCAGTCATTAATACACAGGCATTTAAAAACACTGGTGATCAGAAAGGTCTGTGTTTTCTCATTTCTTTACAGAGTCAGGGAGATTTGAGAGAGAGAGAGCAGGAGTGTGTAGGGGGAAAGAGAGAGAGAGGATATAAGAGAGGGTGAAAGGGAGAGGGAGGGAGCAAAGAAATAACCTTAGTATACACCAACAGCAGCTTTGTTAAAGCCTGTTCTTTCCATGCATGCAATGCTGCACTCATTTGAATCCATGCTGTAGATCCACGTGTAAATACCTACCATATATCTGCAAGCAGGTTTCAGAGCAGTCCGAGACGCACACCTCGGCGCTATAAATCAGTGCAGTGGCTATGCACAGGAACCACTCGGGAGGCGCGGCTGTCAGAAGCTGCAATTTCCTCTGGGTGATGGAATTTCAGGTGGTTTTAGCTTTATTTGGTGATGAGATATCCAGCGTGTTCGTTTCCTGAGCTGCCGTCACAAACCACCACAAACTTGGTGGCTTAAAAAATTAGGAATTTATTCTCACAGTTCTGGAGCCTGCAAATCTGAAATTAAGGTGTCAGCAGGGCCGCACTCACTCTGAAGGCTCCAGGGGAAGATCCTTCACGCCTCTTCCAGCTTCTGGTGGTGACCTGCAATCTTGGAGTTCCTTGGCTTGTGGCTGAAGCACGTCACCTCTGCCTCGGTGGTCACACGGCCTTCTCCTCTGTGGGTCTGTGTCTGTGTCTCTCCTCCTGTAAGACCATGTCATGTTGGATTAGGACCCACTCTGCTTTAGTATGGCTTCTTAACAAATTATCTGTACAACAGTCTTATTTCCAAATAAGGTCACATCCTGAGGTCCTGGGGGTCAGTACTTCAGTATAACTTTGGCGGGGCATTCATTCAACTCATGATTGGGTGCTATTCAACTCATAACACCCAGTGATGAAAAAAATGGGGTGCCCATCACTCGGGGGACTGAGCCCCTGTGTTTCTGGCCAATCACAGCCACAAACCCAGTGCCATGGGACGCCCCCATGGGCCTGTGTCCTGACTGCAGAGCAGCTCCACAGCCTGTCCTGGTGGTGATGAGCCTCAGGAAGAGGAGTCTGGACCCTAAGGAAGGAGAAGCTGACCACGCCCAGGGACAGAGGATGGATGTTTGGCAAGACCAGGCCAAGGACACCAAGTGAAGCATCTGCATTCTGGATCAGAACGTCCCCACTGTTGACTGGGAGCCTCCGGAAGCATTTTCCCAGTGTATTGGGAGGGGTAGAGAGAGGACAGAACATCCAGAATGAACTGATGGGACAGGGAGGACATGCTGGGAATATTAAATCAAAATGTTTTATCACGAATCCCTTGTTCAATCTGAGAGCAGATGTGGAGGACGAGATCGGGGAGTCTTCCCTATGGCTACAGTAGAGAGGCCTCTGGCTAGACGTCTACCTAGAGGAAAAGCAAAGCCATCCTGTCTGGCCAGGATCTGCGGGAAAAAGAGAGAGTGAGGCCAGCAGGCAGGGAGGAAGGTGAACCGGGCTGTGTGTCTCAGGGAGGGCGCCTGGGCTATTAGCACATGAAGGGAAGTAAAATAATAAACTCCTTACTTATTTTCAATAATAGTGAAGTCATAGGAATGATGATGTATAACACACATATAAGGGGTAAAGAATACCAAGAAATGCCCATCTATGCCCCATCACTTGGCTTAAGAAATAGAAATGCCCGTGGGCATCCCTTCAATCTAGAGGTAACAACCACCCTAATTTTGTGTTAACAATTGCCTTGTTTGTTCAGATTTCATCTCACCGTGGGTGTCTGCATCCCTAAATGCTGTAGTGTGTAATTTTGCATACTTTCAGACTTGATAAAAATGGAACCATATGATATATACTTTTTGTCACTGGCCTCTTCACTCAACATCATGTTCTTAAGATTCACACATGGCTAAGTACGTTGCTGTAACTAATTTGTCCTCAATGTGTTGTTTTTGTTGTATGAATTCACACAATTTGTCCACTATACTGCCAAGAGCTACCTCACTCCTTTGCTACTCTGAACAAAGTTCCTGGGAGCATTTTTGTGCCTGTCTCTGGGTACATATGTGTGGAGACTCACCCAGGAGTAGAACTGCTGGGTTTAGGGCAGGCATCTGTTAGCTCTGCTAGCTGATGTCACACTGGTTTCCAAGTGCCAGGGCCAAGTCACATACCCAGTCATGGGGCAGCAGCCTATGTTGCTCATACCCTTGCCCACCTTGGCATCCTTGGACTCCTAGTTCTGTTTCTTGGATTTTCCAGAATTGTCAGAATATTAGTTACAAACACCAGAGTAACAAGAGAAAAGGGCAATTGAGCAATTTATAATTCAAAACAAAGAAAAACCAGAAAAGGAGGTTTAAAAAATAGGAGAAATTTTTAAAAGAAGTAGGGTGAGACCCCTGCCCCCTTGAAATAGTCAGTGCACTCCATGGAATGACCCTATTGGCTGATCCCATCAAGGATTCTTTGGTGAGGAAACGAGAGTAACATTCGTGGTTGTTCTTTTCCTAAAATCCCATGGCACAGTCTTTCTCTGGAGCCACAACTTCATTCTTTATGACTCCCACAGCTCCAGCCAGATGGAGCCACCTCCCTGTAGCCTGGACCCAGGAAAGCCCTGAGCCCCAAGCCCCGAGCCCCAGTTTCCCCACTGTCTGCTTATAGTGATGCTTCTAGCTACCCCATCTTGCTGAAGGAAGCTGAGTCTAAGCAAATGACAGCAACCCATGGCGGGACAGAGTTGGAACCTGAGCAACAACCCCAGAGGCTTGGAGTGTGTCTTTGTCTCAGGGGCTCACACACACACACACACGAACACACACACACACACACACAGGACAGAGTGGGTGACGCAGTTTGGGAATGTCAGGCTGGCGGGTCAAAGTGGAGGCTGTGCTGTCCTTGTCCCCTGGCAGGGGCAGCATCCTTAAGCTCCAAGACCTTGGAGAAGTTCCCCCACCTAGGATGCCAAGGACATTGGCTGAACAGAGCAATACTGATGACTCAAAAAGTCAGATCCTCTGTGCTTCTTGCCTGGCACCAAGGAGCCACAGCTGTCACCATCGGGTCACAGGCCCCTCAAAACCCATCTGCAGTGGATGATCCCTTGCTTCTAAGGGACATGCTGAACCTGGAGTGAGGCTGTGGGCATCGTGGCTGGGCTGGGCAATGGGCAAGCCTTGGAACTGGCTGCAGGATGTGGCCCCATGACCCCCACAGGGACCCGGGCTCCTCCCGCAGGGTGAGGAGGCGCAGGCAGAGGAGGGCCCAGAAACAGGAGTTAGCGGGGGACGTGGACGTGAGGACCAGGGGTCTGCAGGGGTTCTCACACCTGTGAGGGCTCAGGGGGAGGGTGTACGAGGGGCCGGGCACCTCAGAGTATCACATGGGCCTGGCAAGGTGAGCACGGGAGGTGGTCAGCAGCTGCTGTCTCGGAAGAGCTCCCAGCAACCCCGTGGTCAGAGTCAGCACCGTACCCTGGGACAGCCCAGCAATCCTTGGGCTCTCATGTAAGTCCAGCACTCTGGCTCTGTGAAGCAGTTGTTGCCTGGGCTGGCCTGAGCCGGGCACCGTGCTGCCCACCTCTGCCTGCTGGAGTTCACCCCAGCTTCTGGGCGGTCAGAGGGCAGACCCAGCACAGCAGAGGTGGCCTGGGTGGTGTCACAGCTGGTCTCAATCCCCAGTTCGGCCCTTCCCTGAACCTGGGACCTTGGAGAAACCATGCCCTCTTGGTGCCCCAGAATTGCCATCTGCAGAGTGTGTCACACCACCCTCTCTTCTGAGCCTGCTGAGTGTAGATGGGACCTTGCCGGGCAGGCAGCAGTCAGAAAGGTTGGCTAGGCTGCCCTCCCCATGCCAGGGTCTTCTCAGGCCTCACAGGACCCCGTAGCCCAGCCCAGAGGACTTGAATGATTCACAGAGGGCAGGAGACTGGGTGTGTCCTCAGTCTGAATCGGGAGGCTCGCTGGCCTTGGGTTGCTGAGAATGGAGGTCTCAGGCCAACTACTGCCCCCAGGACCTGACCTGCCAAGTGCAGCCACCCCAACCTGCCCAGCCCTGCTGCAGATACTTCTTTTTCATCTGTTACCACTACTTTGGCATTGTTCAGGATTCTGAGCTCAAAGAGTTCATGCAACTTGTCCAAAATCCCCAGCTTGCAAACTGGGTCCTTTCCATGCAGTGTCGACCTACATGGGTCTTGACCCATTGATGCTGGAGTTCTCAGAGGAGGAGGCACACAGAGAAAGTCATGGGGGATGGTGTGTCTTCCCACTCTCAGATCAAGCTACGCGTGCTGACCATGTGCCTGGAGTGCCAGCTGCCCCAGGAACCGGCCTTTCCCACCCAGTGGGGCCAGGCCCTGCCCAAGCTGCCCTCCCCTCCACCTTCCAGGCCAGCTCCCTGAAGGAACCTCCTGAACACCCCTGCCTGGAGCCCATTAGCCCTGCTTGCCTCTTGGGTAGGACTCTTGGTCCCTGGAAGGGGGTGGCCTTCCTAGTGTCAATGAGCAGGGGAAAGGCAGATCCTTCAGGGAGGAAGACAGGTTCCCAGGAAAGGCTAACACCTCAGGCTGGGAGAGAAGGAGGGGCCCTCCCTTTCGTCCAGGAGTCTAGTTGAACCTTCTAGGTACTAAATACTGTAAAGCAAGGGCTTCTCTTCTCATAATGAGACACTGAGCTCTTCAGAGCTGCTCCTTCTCCAAGACACCAGCAAGCTGTTGAAATCAGACCTGTGTGTGTCCTGGGAATTTATGCTCCCTGACAGGTACGCAAATGAGAGGGGTGAGGAGGAAGCAGAGGAGAGAAGGCATCTGGCCATTCCGAGTGCTGGGGGCCATCAGATGAAGGGGTCACCTGCAGAAGGGGTGATAGCCCTGACCCTTGGCAACCCTGGGGACTCTCTGTGGCAGACATCTTCTAGAGACCTCACACACCTGCTCAGTTAAACCTCACCAGGAACTCAGTGCAGAAACAGGCTCAGAAAGTGCACATGGCAAAGCTGGAGCTGGCTGCAGCCTCCTGACCTCAGTCCAGCACCTTCCTCCTTGTGACCCTCACCTCATCAGCCCCTGCCTCACTCCTGGCTGATGAAGATGAAAAGCGGAAGTGTGCTTTTCAAAAAGCCCCACCCCAGCACTGTTTTCTGGGAGACTTTCATGGGTTCCCTGGGACTCCCATTCCTAGCACGTTCCTAACCCCAACCTCCTAACTGCTTATCCTCACCCGCGTGAAGTAATAAACTTTGGAGGCTGCTTAGGTATTTATTTTAGTTAGTAAAAATGTCTTGGGCTTTGCCAAGAGCCATTTGACTTTAATTGGAAACTTTTGAGGCATTAAAAATGCACTGAAGTTTAAGATGTGTCTGAAGGCTCTGGAATCATCGATCATGCAAGCAATGCTTTGGACCAGGTGGAGTGAAGGCAACCTTTTAGCAAATCCACCTCCCTTAATGGACTCATTTATAACTCTCTGCAACACTGGGCAGCGCCTTTTCCTTAGAACTCTACTAGTGCCAGCCAACAGGGTTAAAAGCAGCCAACATCTGGTGACTGTAAACGGGGAACCCAGAAATAACAAAACATGACATAAACAAAAGGCAGCACAGGGAGGGGCAATACGGACACCCCCATGCTGTGGTCAAGGCAGATATTTCCCCTAAAATGTGCAGGAGGCTAGAGGACAGGCACCATCTGCAGCCCATCGTAGACATGT